TCAAATGGCAGGCGTTTTGATTGTTATCATTAGCCCTTTAGTTGACTTCAGTCTTCACAGAGGGGAAGGAATATCAAAGTGTAAAAAATTCAAGAGAGGGGAGGGGGGCGAATAGAAGAGTGTATCAAAGACGAAGGTAGATAAGGTGGAAAAAAGGTGGGATGAGTTCTGTGAAAGTAGTCGAATATGACATACAGTGGGATCATGGCAGTTTGGAGTCAGAGGTCAACTGCCCATTGATAGACTTTTTGCCGTATGAGTTTACGTTGCCCTGGGTGCACCACGTGGAGGTAAGTCTATCACACACCCCTATTTGGAAGTATTGACCCCCCCCCCATATATGCATGCAATTCGGAATACACGTCTGACCTACTGGCCATAATAGAAACTTCTACTACCTCTTGTACTTGTTCTTTCTACACGTTTTAGCCTATTCTTTCGAAAAGTAAATATCAAGATTCGGTAAGTTGGATTTTAGCACCTAAATTCTCATGAACTAGATTGAACACGGGCTATTTACCTTAATATATATGTGTGCATTTATGTATGCATACCTTTCAGATTCATTGGATCAAGGAGCATTTGGATAACAAAGTTTGGGCTTTTATTCTTCCAGAACATCATTCTGGTAAGTTATCCCAACATCATCTCACAATTTTCCCTTAGCGTTGAAAGTGAAATGCTCTTTCTTAAATAGAGAGCACAGTGGCCAAAGAGTACACAATAATAATTCAAAACCGAATTCCTGTGGGTAACGCTGAAAGCAAATCACAGTTTTTTCTTTAAACACGCTTTTAAACTTACTCCACACATTTACGCCATTTGGGTAGACTCATTTTTTCCTACATTTTGTCGATATGACAAAAACATTTCCACACCTTAACTCTATTTTAATAGGCTCTTAAAAGGGCGTTGCCTCTATAAAGTTCAGAGCTGCTTCATTATCAACTGACAAGCCTCCAATCGCACTAACATCTTGAATTTCATTATAAACTTGACTTCAATCTCATTTGACCCCCATGTTCTCACCCTATAGGTACCCTCAAATACCGCTATTTTGAAGGAAACTGCTTATACGACCGAGCTGGTGGGAAGTCCGACTGTGATACAGATCACCACTAACGCTACAAACAAAGAACTGTATGATGTAGTCGAGAAGGCTATTCGACGCTTTGTCCCGTCAAGTCAAGACTCGAAACAGCACAGCAGCTGCTCAAAGACTGCTGCCTTCTTCAAAAATTCAAATGATGACGGCCTCGAAAAATACACACGAAAGTGCACAGCATTGTCTTTTGAGTACGTTGAGTATGTCAGCTTATGGCACCCTAGATCACGTGTCATTTTGTAGTAGTGTTGTGGTGCATGATATCATGAACTGATATTGACTCACTTATTAACTATATTCTACTGTGCATATTTAAGTAGTATTTTTATTTTCAGCAAATGTGACACTGAAGAATATTTTTTCTGCATCAAACAGTCCGATAAACGCTGGTTCAAATGCTCAAGATGTCCTTGGTCCAAGTATGTTAAATTAAAAGCGACTTCATTATCTTGTCACCTTATTTTTAAGGATGTGTCGTGGTTGCCGAGTTCCGATAAATTCGAATAAAGTTGACTTGATACGCTCGGATGATACATGCGTTTATCTTGCAGTAGATTGGAATCTCGCTGCATATGTAAATGAATATCAGCATGCGCAAGAAAATGTGTGTACCTTCTTCTCTAAGTTCGCCTATCTTTATTAAGACAATTGCTTATCGACTTATTTTACTGCCCCTAGCATAAGAAAATAGTGGATCAAGAAGGGAATGCTGAAGATCTAAAGGGGAGGAATACTTGTCAACTGGATCAACTTCTTCAGTGCTACTTTCAGACAGAAAATAAGAATAAGGACGAGTGTATTACGTGCGGGTGCTGTGACAAGCGGAAATGTTTCTCTAAGTCCACCGCTATCTGTGTGCTTCCAGATGTTCTCGTAAGTTTCTTGCCTCCTTATGCCAGTCTGACTCACTACTATGTCTAACCAAAACAACTGGTTTTCGAAGTCAGAAAATAATACAGCACTTTATAATTTCAAGCGTACCCGCTAAAATAATTTGAATCTGAACAAAATTGAAAGTAGATTAAAGGAAAAGTATTTTGAAAAAATTTATTTATTTATTTATTTCAAATGGCAGGCGTTTTGATAGATATCATTAGCCATTTAGGTGACTTCGGGTTTCACAGAGGGAAAGTTCATCAAAGTAGCAGAAAGTCGAGGGATGGGGAACAGAAGAGCGATTCACAGATGTAAAAGAGGCAGACAGACACAAAGGTAGAGAAAAAGGTAAGGTGAGTACTGTGAAAGGGGTCGAATATGACAACCAGGGGGGTCATGGTAATTTGAAGTCAGAAGTCAACTGCCGGTTAATACTTTTTTGCCGTATGAGTATACGTTGCCCAGGGTGCACCACGTGGAGGTAAGTCTATCGCACACNNNNGAAAGTCGAGGAGCGGGGAACAGAAGAGCGATTCAAGATGGAAAAAAGTCTATTAACCGGCATTTGACTTCTGGCTTCATAATACCATGGCCCAACTGCTTGTCATATTCGACCGCTTCACAGTACTCATCTTACCTTTTTCCCTACCTTTATCTCTGTCTGCCTCTTTTACATCTTGAATCGCTCTTCTGTTCCCCGCTCCTCGACTTTCTGCTACTTTGATGAACCTTCCCTCTGTGAAGCCCGAAGTCAGCTAAATGGCTAATGATAGCTATCAAAAAGCCTGCCATTTGAAATAAATAAATAGTGTCCAGTTGATGATGGTACGTCATGTCAGGCAAAGGAGTTGAGATCTGGAGTCCCTATTTTGGGAACCCTGCAACCCGTTGTCACTATTCAGACTAGTTTTGCCGGTGCAGCCTTTGTGGATATACAGTGTTGAGTAACCACTCCTTTGACCACTGGTGTTTTAAACAAACGCGCCGACTGTTTATTGGCTAATACATTTGTGTTTCAAATGGCAGGCGTTTTGATAGTTATCATTAGCCCTTTAGCTGACTTCGGGCTTCACAGGGGAAAGGAACATCAAAGTAACAGAAAGTCGAGGGGTGGGGAACAGAAGAGGGATTTACAGATGTAAAGAGACAGACATGAAGGCAGAGAAAAGGTAGGATGAGCACAGCGCCAGAAGTCAATCGCCAGTTAATAGACTTTTTTGCCGTATGCGTATACGTTGCCCAGGGTGCACCACGTGGAGGTAAGTCTATCACGTACCCCTTGGCTAATATATCCCTTGAAACTCCTGAACCCGCGGGACATTCAACATTTAATTGTAAACCACGTGCATTGATCATCCCTCCGAGTTACTTAGTAAGAAATGAGTAGTAGCAGCAATTCACATTAAGCATCATTCTTCGTGGTGCAGATAAACTGTCGCTGGCATGATCTTGTGTTTAGATATAGCAGTCAATTGGATCTAAATTAATCAGTTTTGCATACCATTGATGAAATATAAGTATAAATTTTATGCTAATTTAAACCCCTGATATGTTGTTAAACTTGATGCAAAATCAGTTGACTTAGAAGAGAAAATAGAAACGTTGCCTTATCAATGGCTATTAAAAGCCAAACGACTGTCAAAACGATGTCACCTTTTCGTTCACCTTTCAAACCTAAACTAATTACTGATAATGCCAATGGAGAAATACTCCATTTAGCATTATCACTAAAAATGCTGCGAGGAAAAAGCGGTCCCCATCATAAACTCTATCATCAACACTGATGTGATGCAAGCTAGAAATCGACGTAACAAGGTTTTCCGAACCTTTGACGTTTCACACTTCACTCTTTGCTTTTCAGATATGAACTAATACTTTGAATGATGTTCTAATTATTTCTATTGATGTTCTATTTTACCCCTTTCTAGCTAATAACTCTCAAGAGATTTCAGGCAACTAAATGTGGATGGCGAAAGTTGACCACCATGACGGAATGCCCACTCAACTCCTTGGATATGCGTCCTTACCTGTCGAAAGAAGTGAACATTAAGGAAACAGTGTACGATCTCTGCGGCGTAGTGAATCACATAGGCACCCTGAACGAAGGCCATTACTACGCTCACGTCAAATCTGAATCAGACGGCCGATGGTTCAGAGTTAATGATATTGAGTGCAGTGTAAGTTTTGTCGAGAAACTTTGTTTACATTTTAACAATCCTCTCTAGCAAATCCTCTAATATAAATTTACTCAAAAAATTATCTTGGTTATGCTTACAATAGTGAGAACACAAAACGTGAGAACGTTGCGAAACCTACTAACAAGCCATGTCATTAAATTGAGACAATATTATTTTATGTTTCATGAACTCGGTCGCTGATTGGCTGAGAGGTTTTACTCTTCAAGGCTTTACTTTTCGGAATGTTCGGGGTGCATGAGATTCCTTTGGTCAGCCATGATAGCAATGTGAGCTCAACAGTTTCGGCAAAAGTAGCCTTTCAGTAATATTTACAATCGAGGCAATAAAGTATACTTAAATATGTTGGAGAAAGTTAAGAATTTCTATCTAATTGTTTAATACATTTGCAAATACTTTTAATGCTCTAAAAAAGACACAATTTAGTTTGTCTATACTGAGGCTGTATGCAATTGAGTTCTGGAGTTTTTGGTTGCCTTTGGAGTCAAATGCAGTGTAAC